TGCAAAGCAGGGAAAGAATAAATGATTCTGGTAAAAATAGGAGGCAGATTCATCTGTTTCTAAAATTTGAAGCAACTGGCATAGTTTCCCAGGTATCTCCTGCTTGTTTGCTTGCTTTTGTAAAGTCAAGAGGAAGAAGAAAAACTAAATTACAGCAAGATGATGATGGTACCCAATGGACAGTTGTGCACTTCAGCATGCATAGTGACAAGAAGAATATATAATTGCAAATGCTGTATAACCACTGTAAATAATAATTTGTGTGACTTGGCAAAAACTTGTAACAAGACAATAAAGAGCACACAGCCCCACAGAGAAATACATAACACATAACCCTAGAGGAAACAATTCCTTTGTTCTCTCATTTTTGAAAATACCTTAGGTGGAATTTTTGTCCTCATTATTAAAAGTACTTCAGTGGTGCTTAGATGGTCCACCGCAATTCTGAAGTTCCTTTGTTTTCTCTTACAGACATTGTGGATTACAAAAAAGGCAATTTCATTAATACATAACAACACACTTTTCATACAAATGAACAAAAAGAAATATCACAAGATTCAAGAAATGTAACAGCAGAAAAAGAGAGATATTACGTACTTATAGATATGTAATTTTTGCTTACTTTAAAGTAATATAAATTAGAGAAGCATCAGAGATTGCTTAGAGCCCTCATGCCCATTTGCTACTGGTTGACAGTTACTTCTGGACTGTTCAGAGTACGCCTTCAGGAGAATGAAGGAATGGAATTTTATTAAAACCCTTACAAACCACACTCCGTGTTGAAAAGGGCATTTGTGGGGAAATTGGCAAATGGGCAGTGGGGACATGTAAAACAGAGACATGTAAAACAGAACATGGCTGCAGAACAGCAAAATATAAAGCTGAGTTACAGTACAGCTGAATACAGTAGTTCTAATGTGCCTTCCAGCCCACTTCTCCTAGTCACTCATCATCAGCGTACTTGGCTTTTCTGTGTTCATGGTGATGTGATGCCCATGTGTCACTGAGGACACCACCCAGTCCAAGCTACATTTGGCATAAGCTCTTATCTGAGCTTTGACAAAGGTCAAAAAGATATGAGGGAAATACTGTGTACATCAACAGTCTGTCCTCAGAGCTTGGGAGAGTCCAGCAGCTGGGCTGGGACAGGAAAACCTGTCATGAGGAAACCCACGAGACCTAGCTTTTCCTTAGGCGCCTTCCCCTCTGCTCTCAGGTGTCTCACATACAGCCAGCCCCCGCGTCTGACAGAGGAGCCTGGGAACAGGAAAGGGAATGGATTTCTCTCATGCCAAAGCTGTGTGTATGGATGCAATGACGGCTTTTACTGTTGTACATACACAGCCCCAGTCTCAGTTTCTCACTGACATGCATTGCACATCCATGAATTTCACGGGGAAGAAGTGGCTGACTTTCCAGCAAGAGGAGCAGGATCTGCCCCCGCAGTACACCCCACTGGAGGTACCCCTTTACTACACAGCTGTCAGAGCTGGAGGGCTTTTTGGAGCTCTCCAAAGAAGAGCTTGTGCTAATGTGATCCTTCACTGCAATGAAGATTTGGGTCACATGAAGGGACGCATTTTTCAGCTCATTCTCCTTTGCACTCTCTCGAAAGAAACTTGGTGCACAGTTTACCAGCCTCTCTCCAGCCCTGAATGGAACTGCACAACACCAAGCGTGCATTGTGTTAGATGCTGAGGGCAATTTGTGTTAAGAGCAATTTGATGCAGGAATATCCTTCAGTATTTCTTGCTTGACATCAATGTGTCATCATATACATTTTATAAATTATTATATATGCATATATGTAAATGCATACACACAAGTTTACTATAAACAGCAGAGGCTTGAGCAGACCTGTTTTCTACTAGGCTAGTGTAAATCACATCCTACCTATAAATTTGTACATCCCACTCCTTCCTGGCTCAATTTGAGGGAGGGTCAGTACTTGTCACAAGCTTATCAAGCTCCAGGTATCCAAACTACATTTAGACTATGGAAAGAGCCACACAAATCACAAGAGCAAGGACTCATGACCTCAGGTCATAACTGTCTAATGAGTTCAGTAATTGACACAAAAAAACGGATCAAGACAAACCTATCTACAATTCCAAATTACTAGATACATCAAAATACAACATTTGAAAGGTATCAGCACTGCTTACATCCTCCTGAAACTACTAAAACTGAGTGGCCTGATATTCTTATAATTTTCCACAGGATAATATGTCATTTCACCTTTCTGCACGGCATGGACTTTCTATGACTCAGGAGATGAGGAGTGAAGGAAACACTTTCCCAAAGTACACCAAAAGGAGTGCCTTCCATTATGATACTACAGTTTCTAGAAACATGCTGCTCAAGAGTACAGGATGACACAACATTCAAAGACTGGTTCCACCCCAGTTACCAGAGTCTTCAAGATGAAGCATTTATTTCAGGACTAGAATTGTAGCTAATGTCTGACAATGGGTCACTCCTCCCAAATAGATGGCGAGAGCTGGAAAACATGGGTAGGAATGGAAGGGAAGAACGTCTTTCAGAGCAGCTGAGTGTGCAAGCCACTCCATTTTTCCCTGGGGAAAATACTTGACTCAGTCTGAATGCTGCTTTCCAGCTCAGGTTGGATGCCACTTCCCTGCTGAAAATGACCTGTAGCTTAACCCCTCACATAAAAGCTGGCAATAGTTTAAAAGCTCCATGCATAAACGAGTATAGTTGAACAGAGGGGTCTGGCTAGACTTCAGTGGCACTGGCAATTTTAGTGAGTGGAGGAAGGGAAAGTGCAGGAGTGCTGTGAACACCTGGCAACAACCTGATGGAAGCATCTGTCTTTGAACCACTTGCTGTGAATCAGGATGGCAGGGTGCTGGATGCAATACAACTTAAAACTTTTCCTCTTTACTGCAAGCCGCAATTCACAGCTGCAAAAAAAAAGCCACATTGTAGTCAGAGAAGATTAAGAAAGCCAACTAAGAGAAGATGAAGAAAGCAAACTAAGACTTATATTCCAGCTACAGCAAGCATTTTCCCTGTGCCTGTTACCAAGCCACTATAAGGAGGAACCTAATTACAGATGTTCTCTACCAAATGGGAATGTCACGAAAACCTATTTAATGTGTCAGGTGATATATGGAGAGTTTTCAGGTTCTGAATCTTTGACACAGAATCAATAACTGGCTGTTGAAAGCCATGAAAACTGCTTACACTGGCCCAACTGACATCCTATTCAATACCACAAGTAGGCTGTGCTCTCAGGACTTTTTTTCTTTGCTTACTCTTTGCATAATAGCTTACTTCTTGAGATGAAAAGTTGAATTTATGAGCAAGTGCCTTCCAAAATGCTATCCTCAGGGGCCATATGTATGCTGCTGTTACACAGACAGGACCAGAGGCTCCTCTCTCCTTCAGGGAGCCACCAACAAACCAGTGGCAACACTTTGGGCACTGTCTACTCTGTGCAGAGGAACAGCAGGGTCAGACATGCCAACACCCGGACACGGCTGGCAACACTGGCAGCTCCCAGGGCCTGGCAGAGACAGCTGCTCTGGCTGAGCAGCGTGGCTGCAAAGGGCCGTGCTCTCCAAACTGTACCAAATGGCATCTGTTGCTCTAGCAAAAACACTACTTCTAGCAAAAACTTTAAGGGGAATCATGATGACACAAGAAAAACAAAAATAGCACAACCTCCAGAAACTGTTTGGTAAATCATCAGCTGCAGGCTCCTGTGCCAACAGCATGGAATGCGCTGTGATTCATGGGGATCTTCCAGTCCACCAGGAACAACCACTGTCACTGTCCAGGCTGTCCTGCTAGGTCTGCGCTTCATACCAAGGACCTGTTACTTAATCCGTGTTGCATTACATGCCAACTTGAGAAGCCACTCAAAAATTTGTCTTAATAAATACCTGAATAAAACCTTTTACAAAGTAAACTAGTGTCATTTCCTCAGAAATCATGAGTCTGCGCAGCACTACAGTCACTTCAATTCCTAGGACTGGTCTTCACAAAAAAATCATCCTCTGGTCTTCCTAATATAATAACAAATGCACATGATTGGCAGGAGAAACAATCATTTCTTGCCATCCTTTATTGAATAAGCTTAAGTTTATGCGATATGAAATATTCTCCTATGAAAGTAAAAAAATGTGTGAGTTATCGTAAAACATGGCATATGCCATAATTTCAAAATATAATCTATGGAAAATGCTGTCAGGTTTTGATTCATCTTCATCATATAACTTAATATTTGGTGAAGAGGGCTATTAAATATTAGAGCATTTCTAATTCAGTCTTTCCTGCGGTCTTCCATCATATAGAGCAAGAAATTACAAAATAAATATAAAATCAACCTTTTAATCCCAAAGAAAGAGAAGAAACACATGCCCTGAGGCACAGTCCAACTACCTAACACTAAAAAAATGTTTCTCATCTTGCTACAAGCCAAGAACTTTCTCGGGTTTGTGGATATGTATCTTTCTTGGTCTAAAATGGGTCATCTTTGTATCATCTAGTTTCTCTACTATTTCAGTTACAGAACTGTCTCACAACATGTAAAAACTTGGACTATGAATATGTTATTCATATCAGCTGATTTTTATGCATTTTTATGTCAGTCCTTACAGAAGAAGGGTTTTCTAGTATGAAGAAAGATCATGTGTTGTAAAAATGATGATCCAGAGCTGAGACACGTATCAAGCCATGACCTGAGCCCAGATTATGAAGTGTGTCAGCCACCTTAGTAAAATATTAACAGATTTTGTGGGTTGTCATAGTAAAATGAGAGGCTGCCCTGAACGTAACTTCATTTACGGACGTTCAGAAAATTGACATCACGGTTTCAAGGACATATAAAAAAACCAGCACAGTGCATTTTCGATTGACTGCAGGAACACTGACAGGAGCATTCCACAGGCTCAACTCCTCTAACAGCACAACAGAAACTGGATTTTGCAAAGCACACTGAGAAGCTTCTTTTTAGGAATCAGTTCTGAGAACATCTGAAAGAATTTATTTTATCTTCAATTGTGTTTGCAATTCCTTTAAAGAAGAATGTGCACGGGAGGCTGTGCCAAGTGCCTGGGAGGTACTCTCGTCCCCCTGGCTGTGCTCTGCACCCTTGCTAACATTTTGTTGTTTTTCCCTGGAGGAAAAGTGGCTGAATACAGTACACACATTACAGATGAAGTCTGGTACTTTGGAGGGATCTTGGGATCAGGTGTATTGGTAAGTGTCTAAATTCAGACATTTCTACCTTCCCCCCACCCGCAGCCATGACTTGCATTGTTGAATTTTCTCAGGACTGCAAATTCCTCTTTGATAAACAAATAAGTTATAAACGATCCAAAGGTTTGGCAATAAGTAACTTAAACTAATGACAAGAATAGAACCCCCCATAGATTATTATATTTAAAAGAAGATGTAATTTGAATTCATCCCAATTCAAACTATATTTCTATTATTCGTAGATGATCTTCCCTGCCTTGGTATTCTTGGGCCTTCAGAATAATGATTGCTGTGGATGCTGTGGGAATCGGAGCTGTGGAAAGAGGTTTGCGGTAAGTGAAAGGAAACATGGCAAAAAAAGTAAAAGCTAAATTGTTACTGATATATGTATTTTCCTCTCACAGTCATTGTGAGTCTAGACAGAGGCTGTCTTGAGTGTGGGACAAAGAGCCCTGCCATTTGTTTGAGTGCTGGGAAGTAGAAACAGCAGGCTGTAAAATGTGTATTATGCCTCTGATGTTTTACCACAGGTACCACAGCAGTATAGCCTCACTGGTTTTTGCTATCAGGATAGCAGAAGGATATCAAGATACTTATAGCTACTACCACAATTAAAATCTATTGCTGAAAGATCTACATTTTGTTTTGCAGAGTACAACAGTCCTCTCCTTAGCCATTTTTGTTGGCAGTTTTTTAGACACTACATTCCCAACCCACTGCAGGCCCACAAAATGAGCTGTATCTCATTAGATTCACAGGAAGATTTTCAGGAAGGTATAGACCTTGAGAGATCACATAATCCAACCTCCTACTTTAAAGCAGTGTGGGTGAGGCTCCACTTTGAATTTATAGCTTACTTTCACACTAGAAAAGTTTCCAAAGAATACTTTCAGACACTAATAAATATCTCAATCTTTTTAGTTTAAAAATTAAATCAGAAGAAAAAATATTTCTAGTAGGAAAATATGTCTTTTTGAAATAAATTCTCTGGATCAAGCAGATCATTACAGTTTTTAAATAAAGGAACACATTTTCCACTGAGAATAAAAAAAAAAAGGAGAGAAAAACAAATAGGAAAAGATTCATGCCTATGAGGTTGACCAAAGAGCTTTCCCTAAATTCTCTCTTTGATGCTGTCTCCATGCAATACCAATAAAACAGATTGAACTTTGAGAAGGGGGAAATGGAGCCATCTGCTTGTCTTTACAACGCTGCACGATCCATTTTCTGCAAGCAGTGAAGGGAAGCTAGTTGAGTTTTGCAGTGTCCACAAGGGCCCAAGCACTGCGGTGTTTGTGCTGCTCAGCCAGGGGGTGGCCAGGGCCACGCAGGGTCACAGGGGGTGGCCAGGGCCACGCAGGGCCACGCGCGGCGGCCAGGGCCAGCATGGCTGAGTGGGAGGCAGCCGCAGGCGTGCGGTGCTGCCTGCAGACCAGCCTGCCTTCTCTGCTGGCAGCGTGTTAGAGTGCAGCTGGCTGGGAGTGTCAGTACACTCAAGAGTACCAAGTACACTGTACTACAAGGGTCCTATGGGCCTTATCGTCATCAGCATGTCTGAGAAACAAATTTGGTATTTTAGCCGAAATCCATTATTAGGATGTCTACTACAAAAGCATAGTTTTTAATTTAGCTCTGATAGATATATTAACATAAAAATGCATGCCAGGACTCAAGACAAGAGTCTTGTGATGAGTCTGAACAAAAAAAAAATCACATTGGACTTGATGATATTAGAGGTCATTTCCAACCCAAATAATTCTATGACATGAAAGTATTGGATTTTTTTCTTCACCTGTATCACTTTATTCCAATAAAGGACATAACCTTAACCTACAAACTGTTATGGCTACAAGTATTTCAGAATTCAAGCAGAGCATTAGTTCTTGCATGATTTACTTACGTATTAGTATATATGGAAAATTCTGTAACAGAAAACCAGAAAAATAAAGACATAATTTCCCATCCATTCCAATTGTACTACTAGAGCTTACACTGACAACTACCTGTGAGGAGATAAAGTATACTAATATGAAACCTAAAGGGAGACTTGGGAAGGAAAAATATAATTATTTGGTCCAAATATAACCAAGATACCAAAGCTAACTTGTAAAGGATACTGTAGATTTTTTTTTAATGCCTTAAGTGGTCCAAGACTTCAGTCTTCCTTGCAGTCTCCTGAGAAGAACGTCTGGCCACAGGGGAGCAGGAGGCCCCAGAGGAGAGCAGTGCCATCTGCTGCCAGCCCCTGCCTTCTCCTCCTCAGGAACACAGGGTCAATGCTGCCAAAGCTTTAAAATACCAATACAAGTATGCATTACACATTTACTATGCAATGAAAACTAATAGACTTCAGCTGTTCAGGTGTTGATTATTTGACTATCAACAGCTGAATTTAGGGACCATTTCAGGGAACAGCTGAATTTAGGGAACAAAAATAACATTATTTTTTCTTCATCAGATGTTTTCTTCTATAATATTTGCTGCCATTGGAGTCCTGGGAGCTGGATACTGCTTTATTGTGTCAGCAGTAGCCCTAAACAAGGGACCTAAATGTCAAAGTGGAGGAGACTGGACCTACCCTTTCCAGGCTGGGTAAGACAAGGCAATCAGAAAAAAAAAAATACATGTCTAAAGTTTGTGAGATGATCCAAATTCCAAACCCATTGTATAAAAATGGGAATTATACTGCTTGTCTAAATTATACAAGTTCTTAGAAGTGCTTGCAGCACACAGCAAGACTTCATAAGGTTCAAGAGCATGGATATAACAAATAGCAAGTAAAAACTACTGTGTTTCAAAGGGGCCAATAAAGAGAAATGCACAGCATCTTCCTAGGTTATTCTTGGGATGATAAGCAACATACAGGGATAAATTCCACTTCGATGAATAGAAATGACACATTGAGACACCTCTCAGAGTCTTGAAGGAATTGGCTGATGTAATTACTAAGCCACTCTCCATATCTGAAAAGTCCTGGCAGTCAGGTGGAGTCCCAGGTGTCTGGAAAAGAGGAAACAATACACCCATCCTTAAAAAGGGTTGAAAGGAGGACCCTGGGAGCTATCGACCTGTCAGTCTCACCTCTGTGCCTGGGAAGATCATGGAGCATTCCTCCTAGAAGGTCTGATGATGCACATGGAGGACAGGGAAGTGATTTGTGTCAACCAGAATGTGTTCACCAAGGGAAACCCTGCCTGATCAACCCAGGGGCCTTCTGTGATGGGGTGACTCCATCAGTGGATAATGGAAGGACTACAGAAGTCATTTATCTGGACACAATCCCCCACAATATCCTGCTCTCTAAATTAGAGAGAGATGGATTTGATGGGTGAACTGTTAGATGGAGAAGAAAGTGTTTGGATGGTTGCATCCAGAGGGTGGTGGTCACTGGCTCAGGATCCTTGAACATCAGTGACAAGAGGTGTTCCTAAGGGATCCCTGCTAGGACTGGTTTTATTTCATATTTTCATTAATGACACAGATGGAGGAGGCTATCGAGATGACCAGAGGGATGGAACACCTCATCTACGAAAAAAGGCTGTGAGAATTGGGATTTTTCATCCTGGGGAAGAGAAGCTTCCGGGTGACCTGACTGTGGCTTTCCAGTATCTGATGAAAGCCTACAAGAAAGAAGGAGAGGGACTTTTTATAAGAGCATGTAATGACACGACAAGATAATGGCTTTAAACTAAGAGTAGGTTTAGATCAATTGTTAGGAAAAAAAGTCTTCCCCGAGGGAATGGTGAGGCACTGTCACAGGCTGCCCAGAGAAGTTGTGGATGGCCCATCCCTGGAAGTGTTCGAGGCCAGGTCAGACAGGGTGTGGAACAACCTAGGACAGAGGAATGGGTCCCTGACCATGGCAGGGGGATTGGAATGAGATGATCTTTCAGGCCCCTTCCAACCCAAACCATTCTGTGATTCTATGATTATATTGAAATTTAATGGTATTCAAATAATTACTACTAATAATATAATATATATAATATTAATAAATATAATCTATGTATAATTTTATTTTAGCTATGGCATTTGCAAGCTGCTTTTTCCTCATGCTCTGCACCTCAGACACGTTCACTGTCATGTATATTTATCACTTAACCCCACCTATCCCACTGCTCAGACTAAAGTCAATTTCAACAAACAACAGGGCACAATGTGAGGAGAGCAGATGTGATCAGAACAGAATGGCAAGGGCTGCAGTAAACTCTTCATTACCTCAGAACCTTTAATGCAGTCTGACTCAGTCAAGAGTGACCTGGCAGCATTTCTGGCAGCATTTTCTTACATAATATACAAAAATATTTTACTTCAGGTTGAAAAGAAAAAAAAAAAAAAAAAAAAAAAAAAAAAAAAAAAAAAGGGAACGGGAAGGGGGTTTAACAAGAAGTGTACAGGTAGAGGATTATTTGCTCATGGGCCAGTGAGGGCCAGAAACCAACTCCCTTGGTCTCATTCTGAGTCTTCGTAAATATGCTGTTTCAAACATCGTTTTGATTGCAGTCCAGAAATCACTTGACAAGAACACAAACAAGTCAGCACTAAGAATATACAGATGAAATATAGCCAGTGGTTAAGCAGTTTACAATCAAATCAAAATGTGAAGGTAAAAATTATGGAGGTTATTACCTTTAGTTTAGATGAGGCATCTAGAACAGCAAAAGCTGTTATTTTCAGCTCAGTGGGCAAGAGGTGACATGCATAAGTTCATTATTTGTTTTGATAATTCAGTTGTTTTGATTACAATGTACTCCCTTGTTCTCAACTGTACTTTGAGGTACTGGATTACATGCCCTGATCACAGTCCCCCACCCACCCCCACACACAAAAAATGCTGTAATCAAGTGAAAGCAGGAAAAATGCCTCTGACTAAACACTGGAACAGATAAAACCCATTTGGCACATGCTTGGCTAAGATCTTTTCTTCCCAAAACACTGAAAGTGGTTCAAGTGTATCAAACACACACTCATTTCCAATTGCTCCCTTCTGATGTCTTGTTTTTCCCAATCACTTGCTTCAGCTTATCTAGAAGCTGAACTGAAGTCAATTTCTAGACAAGTAGCGCTGGTGTGGCAGTGGAAGTCACCGAAGGGAACAGGAGCTCGGCCGTGTGGCAGCAGTGACAACCTCTGAGCGGCGGGACTCCTCTGCGCGCTAACATGGTTTTCCTAACGGCTGTGTTCTCATGTAGGGATTACCTTGCTGACCACACGTTGTGGGAACGGTGCACATCACCGGACAACATTGTCCCGTGGCACCTGACCCTCTTCTCCTTGCTGCTGGTCATGAGTGGGATCCAGGCAGTGCTGTGTGGCATCCAGGTGGTGAACGGCCTCTTCGGGACCATCTGTGGGGACTGCAAATGCTGCGGATGCTGTGGGGTGAGCAACTGCTGCCTCTCCTTTGTTATGCTGTGTACTGATGGGTTACATACAACCTCTAGCTGACATACAACTGGCCTTCCCCCAGCTCCACGGTCATGTTTTCTAACACACTGCCAAAACCACACACTGTTGCCATTAGGAAATAATACAAGCCTTTGAAGGTCACAGCAACAGCAGCCAGGAAATTACCTCCATGTTTTTTATTCTTCCAGGGAGATGGAACTGTCTAACAAATAGGAATATTGCAGACAACTCTCCTCATCCTGGGAGAATCCCTTCTGCAGCTGCTCCACAAAGCAGCCCTCAGATGCACTGGCTCTGGCTAAGAAGATGAGACTGAAGGGCTCCTCCTCCCACCAGTGTTATGAAGCCCTGACTCCCTTTTCAGCCTTCCTGAAATCCCTCATCATGGAATAAAATAAGTGAAATACAACTCTCACATTCATATTTATTTTTGTAAAACAGCTTCCATTTAAAAAGAGGGTATTCTCAGGCAAGATACAAATTTGGGTTCCAATTTTTATTCAGGTCAGTTAAGTAGCTTGTAAATCCTCAAAGCTTCCAATCTATACATGAGCACAAATGCTGTTTATTAATCTTTTTGTAGAAGTTCAATTTAGCTGTATTTGGCACAGTACTATGAAAGAGAGAGGAAAGACAATAGAGAGCTAGCTCAAAGGCAAAACTACCTTTTGGAAAGACCTTTTAAAACTTTAAAAGAAAAAGCTACTTCCCAAAGAAATCAAGGAGAAAATATGAGGGATTGGAGACATTTAAGGGATTCAAATAAACTATTTTGCTTCTTTAAAAAAAATCTGAAACAAATTTTCACATACCAGCTTGCCAGGCTGGATGTCTCAATGCTTCTCAATATTGGCCACATCTATTCCCTAAAATTTTACTACTGAAAAAATGATTCTGTGGCCTGTGCTTTCAGAAAATGCATGTCATGTATTGTGTATTTACACTAGGAGATATCTGAAGAATCTAGAAGTACTTGAAAGCACTGGAAGCTCTTGAGTAATATGCAGAAATGTTAAACAGTTCGATATAGGTACTGAGAATTATGTTGTACAAGATAATAAATTACAAAAAAAACCTTTTCAGAAACAGCTGTCTGTCCCACCTGTTCTACTGCACTGCCCAGGAAACTTGAGAGCACCCTTTATTTCAACACACACTGTGCAGCCATCTCACATCTATTCTTTCATCTGTGGTGACAGCTGTCCTGCACCTCATCTCACATTTGTCCTGTTTGATTTTTATGAGGCCTCTGGGAACAAGGAATGTTTCTCATCAGCATTCAACAAAGGGATGGGTAGCTGCATAGCATACAGCTTTGATATATTTCTCAATAAACAGAATACATAAATCTTTGTGGGAGATGGGATAAGAAATAACAGGCAGCAAGCTGTGATACCTAAAACCATAATCAATGAGCTACTGCTTCTAAGAGACACCCAGCTACATGACGGTTTTCTAACAGGAACCAATATATAACTGACACTGACACAAGGCCCACACATTTCATCTTGTGATCCAGACTGCATTCACACCTTGGCCTTCAGGTGTACTGAAAAGGGTAAATGAGCCAGAACCAGCAGCCCAGCTGAACTCACACTTTGGAGTGCCAACAACGATGTTCCAAAAATCTATTCAGTTAACCTAACAACTGAGGCTCTCCCCTAGCACTTAAATTCAAGCAAATCACACATCTGTAGTGTCAATTCTGCAGCAACTGGAGATTGTTCTGTGTTTTTACTCAGCAGAGCATCCAGTAAAATGAAGGAGAGGGATTAATCCTAGAACCTCATAACAGAGAATGATGTAAAAAGCCAGTGTTAATTCTTGAAAAGAAGGCACAGATAAAGAGAGTGCAGTGCTAGGAAGGGACAGAAAGATGATGGTAAGAAAGAAGCCACAAGCAAGGATAACTGAAAGTGTTAACAGACCACAGGAACCCTGACCAATTTAAAGACCACACTGTGTTACACTGTGTAGAAATATGAACATACACTAAGACAGAAGTAAAAATAGTAGCCAAAAGAAAGAATATTAGCATTCTTTGTAAAATCTCAGAAATACCCATGCTGGCTGAAGCTTCATTTTTCACCCATTAAAAGTGCCTGCTGGGTGAGCAGGGTGCTGAGAGCATAGCAACTTCAACACTGCATGGCACTGTTTTAGCTGAGAGCTATCACAAAAGGATACACATTGGTTATCTAACAACTCAGATTACAACATGTGGAGTATGGCATGTGATTTTGAGCCCATGCACTTCAGTGGGACAAAACTGATTAAGCCCCTGCACAAGTGAACTACATACAGTTAGTTCTCTTTTTTGGTTGTCTTCAATAAATAGACTGCAGACAAATGATACATTGGCCACAGGACAGTGTCACCTTTGGGGAATGATGCATTAACCAGAGATTCTGCAAAAGGTTCAGCTCTAAAGGAGGGAAGTAACATATACAATGTTGAAAAATTATTTGCTCAGCCCAGAACCAGGGATGTTTCCTCACATCGTTCCAGTCTTGAATGACCATCACCTGTCTCCAACTTCAGCTCCCTCTTCATGGACTGCACATCACTCATATATGATGATGTATAACCGGTTGCAAGGCAAACAATACCAAACCCTGGAGCCATTCCAGCTGTCAGAGGGTGGCAAGGCTGGCTTCTTCCATTACCTGACATGGGTGGGGTCTTTGCCCCCATATTTTAATTCAAATGTATATTGAATATACATATTGAATATGTATATACATATATGAATAATTGACTATACAATACAAAATTGAATATTTGAATTCAAAATGCATGCCTTTTCTACAGAATAGTATGTCTGCACTGTTATTCTAAGCAGTGTTTTACCATTCCCTGGGAAGCCCATATTAAAACCCTCAAACCCACCCCCTCCCCTAAAGAAATTATTTTAAATAACCAATATGCATCCAAAATCTTTTAAGTTCATTTGTATTTTTTCATGTAAAAGATCAAAGAAATAATTAAATAAAGAAAAAAAACCAAAACAGAATCAAACCCAGGATACAACAGTTTGATCTGATTGCCTCTAGTACAATGTATTTCAAGGTACTAAAAATTAAAAATAAATGCTCACACAAGTCATATAAAAATGAAAAAAGTAAATAAAATAGTTAAAGAACTAGCATGTACATGGATGTATGTATTAGGAAACAGTTTTATTTGGACAACCACCCACATTTTCCTGTAATTAAAATAGAGATTTAAATCCTTCCCTTCCCCCAAACAGCATTTGTTGACAAAAAGTCAAACCCAATCCCTCCCCAAGTTACATTCTAACAGTATTACCAGAATACAAACTGTAATTAACCATGTCACATTACTTCTGTATCACCAAGACTTACATATTCCCCCTCAGGGATGGTCACAGCAAAATTGTCCAGCTGGCACATTGGTTGTATTTATACTACAAGTAGACAGTGTACAATTTAGTACAGTAAATGCTCAAAACCTGAAATAGTACAGTAAAATATTGTCAACAATAAATTTATTTTCATATTACATATGCTTTGAATACTGAAAAATTCTGCCATGAGCCTGTTTAAAGCCAGAAACTCTTTTAAAAGATAACTTTGAGAAACAGATTTTATTGTCATTGCACTTCATCAGATACATTATCTCCGTAACAAAAATTAAAAGCTGACAGTGTAAAGAACCACTTTTAATTTAATCAAGATTTGTGTCATGACTGAGTAAAGATCTAACCTAAGATTCTGGCAGCTGTTTCAGCCTGAAGTGCTGCTCCACACAGTACCTTCCTGTTTCAGATCTGGTTTACTATGGAAGTAACACAGAAACACAGTTTATGATTGCTTTATCCTTTTAAGGTCTTTGCACCAAGACACTCAAGCACCAGAAATACAAATAAAAAAGGAATCAGCCTTGCAGCTTCACAATTCTGGTAAATACCTGATGTGATTTCACTAGAAAGTGGCATTAGTTTTTGCCATACAAAGAACAGCCTCTGGCTGACAACAATGCACGTGGCTGGGCCGGAATCAGCAGCAGCTATCTCACAGAGCTGCTAGCCAACCTGCTCAGAATATCTTCTGTTATGGCAAACTTGCGTGTCCACTGGTGCAGAGCTGCTAGCAAATGGACAAACTGCATTCCCCAGACATCAGCTGCTGCAGGCTCTGCCAGCTGGCCCAGAGCAGCACTCAGGCCCAGGGCTGCTGTGGGTCATCCCAGCACCAGTGCCTGGCGGCTCCTTACGCCCAGTCAGTACTGCTGGTGACATGGCCCTGAAAGCTGGCCACGAAATCTCCAGTTCTTTACCAACATCAGTCATGGTACTAAACAACAAAGCCTCAGGACCATCTGTTTTTCGTTTAGGCTGACAACCTGAAGAAATCCTTAAAAGAGAGTTTAAAACTAATTACAGTAATATTGGTCAGCCCTGCCCGGTCCCCTGTTTATTGAAAAGAAGTTTATGCTATCTCAACAGTTAGCAAAACTAGCAAGAATATAAAAACCCCCCACCTAATAACCCCCCAAAAGAATAAAAGAAACACAATGCCCATTCAGCAATTAAATTCTGTGCAGACACGACTCTGCTGTTACATCTCTTTTTCTATTAAAAAAAAAACAAAAACCAAAAACATTTTAAAAAGCTACTTTTTACTATGTCATAAAATGTCACAACTGTAGGTCTTTGCCTAATATCTCTTTTTTCAAAATTTCAGTGTGTGTGCTTTTTATTTTCCATCCTGTAACATCATGTACACTTAGAAGTTCATCACAGACATGGTCATTTACTTTATTGAGTGCTTCTCTTTAAGTTTTTCACTGAACACTGGAGATTCATTTGCTATGTACCCCTGTCTGTAGCCATTTTCCCAGCTCGGATCTACATTTATTACCTCATCATTCGTCTTCCAAATCTGCTCTGTATTCCCACCACTTCATCGCTGACCTTTTCACCTACCTTCACCCAACCAGATGGAAAAAAGTCTTTAAGAGTCAATATTCTGATGCATCAGTAAGATCTTGCTAAGTGTAATCCGACCTGGCAAACACACATTTACACTTAGTGCTACATCTCTTCTTCTCTTTACATAGCCTGGATTAAGCTTAGAGAAAAATTATAATGCCTTTCATAAAATTACCTATTCTTCAATACAAAATGCTTATATCCATTAATTATAAATAAGATAATTTCAAAACATTTAAGAATATTCAGGACTTCATCTGCACTTCAGGGGAACTGCAGGTTTAATGTTCTTGATGTCTTCTCAGTCCCAAACCTCTGATGGGGACGTTTTGTAGGGTATATAACAGGCAAAACCACACAGCACATGCCTCATGTCCTGTGCACCAGTTATGGTAAGTGAAAGACATGAAAACTAAGCAGCCTTACCAGGTGAGTCCCAATGCTGCTTTAGCAGTGCCCTGATGAAGTTCCTGGTTCTTTTTCATGTATAGAACTACATGTATTTTTACACTGTCAGTTAAAAACATCACTGAAAACAGTATGAGGAAGGTTTTTCTCCCCCTATGCATGACATCAACAAGTTGTGCCACATTTTCCAGAACTGATTTTAAAATAATATTTTTGCACTGAAGATACTTGCCACAGATTTTATATATATAAAAAATTGCTTGTTCATGTGTTAAGTTACAAAACTGTAGTGTTTAATATAATAAACTAAAAAATCTAAGAATTTTTAAAAAATGCTTGTTTATAATACATTTCTTTGTTTTTAAAAGGCAACAGTCAGTACCAGCCTGGTTTATTTTGTAACAATACTGTAGTGTAAAAATGTTGCTAAACAATTCTGGTACTTTGAGACTAGAAGTAATCATTTTCTGAAAACTATACAGTAATTTACTGAAAAAAAGAAACTACTATAGCATTGTTTGTGCCTTCACAAATTATTATGTTTGATATGGATCATATTTGAACTGCATGCTATACAGAACAGTTAGTCACTAAGAAATAAAAAAGCTTTTTAAGGCTTAAGTAAGTTGATTTAAAAAAAGCTTCTGATAATATTGTCATAAACATAATAATAAAACTCTCTCTCTCATGAGAGTTTTATTATTAAAACTCAGGCTCTCATGCCCTGATGATTTGCATTTTTTTGAACCAAGTGACCTAGGAGTTAGCTTTTCTGATTCACAAAGGGTCTGTGATGTCAACCAGTACCCAGGAGATCAGTCAGGGATATGCACAAACATTAGCCCCTTTCTGTCCTAAAAGTGACAAGTTTCTGCCTGGTTTGAGAAGGTAAAAAAGTACACAGATGTGTAAAGTGGTATGGGTTTTTTCAAAGAAATATATATCCATGTATGTATTATATATATATGTATTTCATACTTAAATTAGTATCAATCAAATTCAGACAGATATTAAACTGACCATAAAGATGATGTAAAAAAAGTCAATAAGGCAGTATGTTGCATCTCTTGAGGATATTCAGATATTCTATGCCTACCTCAAGAGGAAAAAGAAATCTGAATTGCACTGTAGGCCCAACAAGCATTGCTTGGTTACAGCCAGGTAAGGAAGGGCTCGTTTTTGTTAAGCACTGACTCCACGTCGTTGAGAATAGGGATCAAGTCTTCTGACTCCAGAGTCCCAAGATCAACGTTTGTCCCGGGAAGACAGTCGAGGAAATCAGGGAAACGTGCTTGTTGTGGATTTATGTTCATTGCTGTCTGCGCTATAGTTTCTCCTAGGAAAAGTAAAGAAAAACTTTTGAAGTACCAAAGTCTTACTATGAGTAATTTAAAACAACAGAATTGACATAACAATTTATTCCCCCTTTCCCACGGGCACTTGGGAGCATTCCTACTCAACACAAATGTTATGTCAAAACTGCATTTAGGTATAGAGTACATATTCTCCTAAGAATACATTTCACATTCTTGCTTTGACCTCAAAAGCACAAAAGGTCCAAAGGCCCTTTCCAGCAGTGCTCAAAGCACCCAGCTCTGGTCTTCCACTTGGGAAGCATGACAGTTTCAAGTTCGTTTCCTGGTCTGCCCAGGAAGCAGCAAAGGACCCTCATGTACACTTCCATCCTGATCCCTGCACCAGGGGCAATGCTGTCTGGAGGAAAGAACTGAAAAAAGTGCTTTGCAGCAATTTAGGTCTGTAATATTACTCTTTTTTTTTTTTTCATGAATTAATAAGAACAAGCACGAAAAACATTACAGGTCTGTAATATTACTCTTTTCTTTTTTATGAATTAATAAGAACAAGCATGAAAAACATTAATAGATAAATCTTCCAATCTCCGCATAATACTGAACAAGCACGAAAAACATTAATAGATAAATCTTCCAATCTCCGCATAATACTGAATTTCTAATGACTTCAAACGGAAGTTTAGGTGAGGAAGTGCTGAGAATTTCACTCTCTGAAAAAACCCTTGATTTCCTAGTAAATTATTTCAGTATTTTAAACACCATGAGGACACTAACATCAAATAAATATGTATCAAAATGTAAGCTAGCTAAATACATTCTGTTTGAAGGCAAATGCAACTTTGCCAATGTAAGAGACTTACAAGCAAGACTTATTTCCCAGTCAGAAAATGTATTGATTTGTACACGTAACCCATAACAAGCTTTTTAGTCCCCCTACCATGGACAATAGTATGAAAACAGAAATTAAGGCTTGCATTTTCCAGGTTTTATTTATTCTGTTTAATATCAGTCTGAGGTAAAAGGGCAGAATCTGGATCTAAGTTAAAGCTGAGAACCTCCTGGGCACTAAGTACCTTCTAGGCATTTTCTCCCACAGTGCTGGTCTGTTCTCTTGATTAGGAAAGCTGGAGATTATTGTTCAGCTATGCAATTGTAAGACATTACTACTCATAATACATGGATTA